TACCAGCAAACCGAACGCCGATAACGAGCAAGTGGATTTTCAAAATAAAGCGTGGCTTGAATGGAGAATCCGACCGGTTTAAGGCTCGGTTGGTGGCCAGAGATACGGAAACCATTACATCGCCTGCATGGTCAATTTCTAACATTCGTTGTGATGTTCATGAACAGAGGATGATAGGAAACGGAACTAACATTCATTGTAATAGATTTTTGGTTTGCGTGTACTTAAAGCGTATCTTGCGATACATAAAAGGGGCTCTGGATGTCGGATTGATGTATCGTGCTGATTTGAAGGCTCCGATGGTCGAGATTTTCTCCGATGCGGACTGGGCCAATGATCCAGTGGACCGACGTTCCGTCAGTGGTTGTGTATTCAAAGTTGCTGGATGCACTACCGGTTGGATGACGCGTAAGCAGCAAGTGGTCTCACTATCCTCTACGGAAGCTGAGCTGAACGCATTGTGTGCTGCTGCTTGTTACGAAATTTGGCTGCTTCGTCTGCTTCGTGATTTGGGAACGGTCGCTGAACTTCCGGTGAGTTTCTTCGAGGACAATCAGTCCACAATAAGGATTGCGGAGGACTGCAAGAACCACGGACGGCTGAAGCACGTGGATGTTAAATTTCATTTTCTTCGTGATTTGGTGAAGAATGGACGGATTTGTATTCGGTACATTTCGTCCATGGAACAACCGGCGGACATGATGACCAAGAGTCTTCCAGAGTCTGCCCTTCATCGTCACCGGGCTAATGTCGGTTTGGTGAGTTGCTGCGGTTGAAGGTGGCTGTTAGAATGGCAACCCTGGCAACCCTAATGTGAGGTGGTAACCTTTCCTTTTGGACTCTACTGTGACCGCCATTTTTCTTGCTATACTGTTTTTCATTCCTCATGTTATTATCAAAACAATCGGTCGAGAATTAAAACGTTTTTTTTTTTATTAAAGAGTTTTTTTGTGTTTCTCTTCACTTTTGCCCATCCGAAATCATTTTGCAAGAAAGCTGATCTAAAATTTAATACATGATATTCAACAGCTTCACCACACATGAAGCGATTAATTTCATAAACCTCATATTTAGTGCTCATTATCTTATTTTTTGATCATCTTCTTTTCTATGTTTCTTCTTATTATGCAGAATTTAAAGAAAAATAGTTTGAATTTTGAATTTTGCCTCAAACCACATTTTCTTGTTTTTTTTTTTATTTGAAAGGTTAATTTATTTTTAAATATTTATCAAAAAATCATGTAAAGCTAGTTTCACTTAAAATCTGAACGCACTGCTTATTTTTTTACAACGGTCCTAGTGGTCAATTCTCGGATGTAGGAGAGCAAATTGTTTGGAAAGCTTTCTTCTTTTAGTGGTAAAAGTTTTGTTACGATTCATTAAGATTTAAAAAAGTTGTGACAGATGGAAAGTGGAAGAAAGAAATTGATTTTGGACACCCACCTTGAAAATCCAAAGTGATCAGGTTCAAAAATTGTGAAATCGTTGAATTTGGCTATATCTACCGTGTACAGTGTTCACAAATGTTTCCGTGAGTGGAAAACTGTTGTTTGGAAGGATCACAGTAAGCGTCGTAGTGGAACTTACGATCGGCAACTGCCTTAGAAGGTATTGAGTACAATTAGAGCAAACCCACAACTCTCTGACGGCAACATGGCCATAAATTACAATTCCAACAAAAGCTATCGTTCTTATCATGCCAGCAAGCAGCCAAACTGGACACTGAAACAGAACTGAATGGCCAAAACACGCGGTCGGAAGTTATATAGAGAGGTTTTTACGATGAACCCAGGATGCATACTGATGGACGTATGTAAAGATGGACTTTGGGCATTTCTCATTTGCAGCTGCGGACAAAAAACTCTAGTTTTCGTTGCAAATGAGTCTATGAACTCGAAGCTCTACAAGGAAGAGTGCCAGAAAAAACGCATTCTACCATTCATCAAAGCACACAAAAGCCCTGTAAAGTTTTGGCCAGATTTCGGTAGCTGCCACTACAGTCGAGAGACACTTCAGTGGTACCGTGACAACAAGGTGGATTTCATTGAAAAATACCTCAACCCACCCAAATGCCGTCAATTTCGCCCAATCGAGAAATATTGGGCAATTTTTGAGCTGCAAAAGACTGGAAAAGAGACTTGGAATGCTGCAAATATTAAGAAATCGAACATGAAGGGTCCAAAAAATGATGCGAGGTATTTCAAGAAAAGTTTTTCATTTCATGAAAACCAAACCGGAGTAAGACTGTGGATATTTTTTCCTAAAAGTGCAATAAAAACCTTTAGTTTGACTGCTGATTTCTTGCGTCCAGATATTAAGTGAATCGAGCTTTAAGTATGGGATACTTGTTCAAAATATACGAAGTCATCATTTTTAAACATTAACTATTCAAAAGTGTGGAATAATGTTCTTTAGATAATTTTTCTCGTATTCTGTTTTTCCCTGAACAGTAAATAAAATTAAATTAAAATAATCGAAAAAAAATAATACCTTGGCTAAGCCTATATTCCATTCCGTGCATGTAGCTTTGAACTCCTTTACCAAGTGATCTTTAGTATGAGAACCCTCTAAGGGGCATGCGACAAGAGTGATGAATTTCATAGTGTTTTGGTCGTCGTGGAGGAAATGTAAGGTCATGCCCAAATAACTCTGATTGTTTCCGGTGTCTGTCCACACATCTGCTGTCATACAGTATTTGGCACAGCCTTTGATTTTCAATTTAATTATTTCGCTCAATGACAGGTATTTCTCATCCAGCACCATCCCTTCCAACTGGGGAGTTTGATAATTTTCTACAGCTTTTTTTTTCGTGATGCAATTTGCTGTGGGACACCCTTTAGTGCAACGTACACAGTGTAAGCAATGCACATTGAACTAATTTCACCCAAAATTTCAAAAGAAAATACCCAATGGGTAAAAACTTACAGCCTTTTGCAGTGATGGATCGCTCTTTTGGGACTTTTTCATTACTTTTTAATATAGCTATGCTTACGTTAAATCTAATTGAATTTTCAGTGTCGAGAGTGCTCTCAAGTGTACCTTCAGTGCAAACAAAAAGTGTGGCTCTACGGTGCGGATATTTTGAGCCAAATGAACTGTCAAAATCTGAGCCAATCCAACATTCCCATTAAAATTTTTCCGAGGATTTCTTATTCTTACTAGATTAAATTTGAGAGTATTGCAATCGAACAGAAACTCAATCACCTTTATGTTTCATGTCTTTCTCAAATTCAACTAGTTTTTTGAATAAAAAACAATATTCTAACACTATTGATTAATTGATCTTAGTTGGTTAATTAATGGCACAAAGAAATGTGCAAAATATTGCGATGTAATCAATTATTATTTTGCACGTAAATCGAATCAAAAGTAACCGTCATGCGAAATGCTAGCTTTTAGCAAGGGTTGCATGATTGTTTAGGTACAAATCTCTGCTGCCAAATTGTATTTTGTTTTCTCCGCCCATCTCTCCATCTGAGTATTTCTAATCTAAATTGGGTAGAAGGGAAATTTAATTACAAAAATCATGAAGTAGAAACGCTGTTGCTTTCAGACTATAAATTTCATTACTGAAAATTGTCATTATCTTTGAAAATTTTCACGCGATATTGTAGGAATTATTTTTAACGTTATTTCTAGAAGAATTGACTCGCACGTAAATTTGCGTAGAAAAAACCATTAATTTTTTCATCGATGACAGAGATTCACCTGCTAACAAATTCCGTACAATCGATGCTATTTGCTATTTCACATTGACGGCTCCATGGATTCATTTTCCTTAGTTAATTTAATTTCGTCAAAAATTTAGGCGATAACAAAACCTGCACATGTTCGTCACTGACTACATTGTAACGAACAATTGACATGATTTCCATTGAAGATGATCTTTAGCTCGAATGAGTGACGAAAGCTGTTTTGTCAATATCGCCGTGTATGGTCTATATTTTGCAGCACTGCACTCTTCGCAACAATGAACGATTATCGACCATTCAATTAATCAATTAGAAAAACTGCTTTTCTGATCATCTTGCGTGTAAGGTCACATAGCATCACGCTAACCATAGTTAGTGCTTTACTTCACCTAATGAAATAATTGAAACTGGCATTAGAAGGGAAAACAAACTACAGACATAAGTCATCGCACCGAGAAACAAATTATGGCTATGCAAAGAACGCTATAAACGACCACGCTTCGTAGCCATAAAAGCACCCACAAGTGTTCGATGTTTTTCTGATCGACGCATGTTCTTGACCGACCATTCTCCGCTTGAAAACCGGATTTCGTTTTTCATGATAACGAACGACCATACCTGTTGACCAGCCAGCTCAGAATAGAGTGCTGAGGATGGTTCTTGATCGTCCTTTCGACACTAGAATAACAAATTTACATGAAGAGGCAGGCATTGCCAAAATAGATTCCAAAATTAACGAAATTAAGACTAAATTTGTACAAAAATGTAATTTATCAGAACATGCTTTGATAAGCAATTTGTATATAGTAGGTTAGGTGTATATAGTAGTTGTAGGTTAGTTGTAGTTGTAAATAGTAGTTATAAGTAGTCTCCTTTTTCCAATTCAAATCAAACCAATCCCACCAAGGTGGTCATACTTTAAAATAGACCTGATAGGACTAGGAACTGTAAATAATAATTAAAATCTCAAATGTACTAAAGCTGAAAAGACGCATCTGTGTCACTTAAAAAAAAAATTCATACATGTCAACCACACAATCACAAGAAATAAAGATCATTTAAATGGCAAAAAAAAAAAAAAATGTTGAACAGCCATTAAGGTACCTGCCTCCCACAAACAAACACAAGCATGTTTGTTTCGCTTCAAGAGAAACTTGTTTTTGTTTTGATTTCTCTGCGTCATCGACAGCTTGACAACCACGGCCGGGACCGGCTTCAGTCTGACTATGCAAATCTCGTTTTTTTTTACATTACTGAATTCCAATGGAGACTTCTAAACAAAACCGGATAAGGAAGTTCCTCCAGCCAGTTGCCTGGCAGTAGTTGTCGAGTAGAGATCGAAGCAGAGCATGGCTACCTTAAACCGCGATTGCTTGAGTGAGCACGATCGGCAGGTGCTGGAATCGATTTTCAACCCATCGCAAATCGGTGGCGAAGAACTGCTGTATACTGGGAAGGAGGAGTTTCCAGAAGATTTGCAAGGTAATTTAATATAAGTAACGACTTTAGTACTGCGAAAAAACGATCATAACAACTAATCGTAATTACACATGTGCAATCGATGTTTTGAAAGTGATAAATTGATTTATTGAGGTATTAAGTATAACGCAACAGTTCTTATGACCGTAGCATATCGAAACATAAAACCATAGATTGAACTGCAAAATCTTCGTCAGACCTTGCCGAACCGGACAACCCGCACATCCAGCAATCGAAGAAGCTTGAAATCGATGCAATCGAACTGGCCGAGAGTGGAAAGCTTAAGGATGCCGTCGATCTGTTCAGCAAAAGCATAGACGCAGCGCCGGAACGCCCTGCACCGTGGAACAATCGAGCTCAAGTGTACCGCTATCTTGGCAATGAGAAAGGTAAGTTCACAGCCTCTAGTGGTGGCTGGCCGAACTAGCAAGCAAGTTTTCCTCTACACGGCCGTTGAATCCAACTCAAATTTGAGTTCCTTCCGGAAACGCAGGTCAGTCATAGACCGACAGAATAAGTAACTCACGGACTGAGTCACATTTACTCACTTTTTTAGCATACTATAATCCCCTATGCAAAATGTCACTCAAATTTCTAAAAGCGTAAGTTTTTAATATAATAATTTAATAAATTTGAGTGAAGTTTTGTATGGGGAATTATGACATGCTTAAAAATTGAATAGATGTAACACAGTCGGTGTGTTATTTTTTCTGTCCGTGTGGACTGAGTTATTTTTCCTCGATTTTCCTCAAAAAAATGCTCGAGTTGATGAAAATTGAAGAAAATTTTATTTGGTCTACGATTATTCTCGCAGATGACAATTTTTTTCTTTTTACCCTATAATCACGTAAATATCGACGGATAATCGATGAAAAGTTTACTCAATCTATAAAAGGCGTGCATTTTCACGAATTTGTGATAATGAAACACAAATTTGAGTTGGATTCATCGGCCGTGTGCAGCGCCTTTTAAATCGTACCGCTGCCAACATAATCAATCCCTGCTGCTTACAGCTGCACTGGAAGACATCGAACAGGCGTTGAAGCTTTCGAATCGTTCCGGGCGGACTGGCTGTCGGGCGCTTTGCCAGCGCGGTGTACTGCGAAGGAAGAATAAGGACACGGATGGGGCACGGGAGGACTTTGAGGCGGCGGCAAAGCTGGGAAGTCAATTTGCCCGGACGCAACTGATTGAACTGAATCCATACGCGGCGCTGTGCAACCAGATGCTGCGGGAGGTGATGAAGGTAACGTAAGGCGAAACTGAACTGCTTTTTTAGGGGGCCGATCCATATGGAACATCTGGACAGTGGCACATTGGGTGCGTCTCTTGTCATCTGAATGAATCGACAGAAAATGCTATAAATGATATAAGAAGGGAAGAGTTGTTATTTGTTTTAAAATGTTTTGATGATATGTATTGAATGTTTAGAATTAATGGATTTGTAAATGATGATCATGAATAAATTAATTTATGGCACACCAAGATAACAGTCGTAGAATATTGGTTTAATAGTTTCGCCCACTGCTGCATCAAATCATTTCAGCATGATTCTTGGGTCTCCTAAGAATTCGCTTGGAAATCTCATCAGAATTCGTTTGTAATACACCTTAAATTTACTTCGGATTTACGTTCAGAACCTCCATCGAATTCGCCTCATAATTCTCCTGAACTTATAGCCAGAACTGTTTTGGAATTTGCTTCAGAAATCTCTTAAAATTCACCTGTATCTGTACCTGTACCTCACAATTCCTAGGCATTATTCCTAGACATTCATTTAGTTTTCTCCTCTTCTCTGGTGGAATCATGCTTCGATCTCCCGTTGAATTTTTACTCAGCATTCAATTGGAATGCTCTCAGAATTCCTTTGGAGTATTTTTTAAACTAGTTCGTTATTTACTAGGCTCAGTCGAGTGTGACGCTGTGCGGAGCCAAAAACCCGTAGTTTTTTTAATTAACATTTTAAACAGCAGTAATCTACCAATTACACGTGGTGGGCTCGAGGTTAATGGGTAACCATTTCTATTTGAAGGAGGAAACAAGTATCTGAAGCCTCCTTCAGATACTACTCTCGAACGGTTGATCAAATGCTGGCTGGACAGGGGCAAGTAGCACAGAAACAGGTGGATAATAAGACAGGGACACAATGGCTGGAAAATGTGTGGAAAGGAGGAGATGGTCACCTCAAACTCTAACATCAGACAAACAAAGGAATTCGTAGATCGCCTGCATGTAGGGAAGATCACGGGTTCACGGAAGGGTTGTCTACCTCGGGCCACTAGGGTATCCAACAGACGTGCTCTGGAGGCGTCATTACCCGGGCAATACTAAACTGCGTGATCGATGTCATCATAACCGGTTCTGCACCTACAACATATATTGATGTCAACGAGATTTATTCTGTAGTGATGTGCGTCTAGCGAGTAGTGGTTGGACATAAGTCTTGATATCACGCGAATGAAGCCCCGACTTACATCCAGACCTTTGAACCACGCTCTCGAAGAAACGTTTGGAGTAATGGAATTTAACCACCTCCCAAGAGAATTACTTGTCCTATTGTGTTGTCAACTTAGAAGAGAACTCTGACGTACGGAAAAAATCATCATGTGAATTCTTCTATCATAAATCTCGCCTTGTTGTGCGCCCACCTTTGCGAGAGAGTCTGCCTTCTCATTGCCTGGGATTGAGCAATGTGAGGGAACCCATACAAAGGTAATCCTATATGATCTTTCGACCAGCAAACTCATCTGCTCTCTTTCCTTTGAAAGGAAATAAGATGAGTGCCTACCTTGTTTCATCGACCTCAATCGAACTGAGACTATCCCAGAAGATGAAGTAATGGTCTGTGGGCATGTCGGATATCATCCCCAATGCGAAGTTGATTGCTGCTAGCTCAGCAGCATAAACGGAATAAGGTTCCTGAAGTTTCCGGAAGGCGGTTGAGTATTCATTGAAGACACCGAAGCCAGTGGATCCATCAATGCGTGATCCATCAGTGAAAAATCTTCTATTGCAATTGACTTGCTGGTACTTTTCAGCAAAAATACGGGGAATTGAGATAGGTCGAAGTTGAGCTGGAACTCCTTGAATAGCCTGTTTCATGGAGAGATCATAGTCAATAGGGGAACTGTAGTTAGTAAAGCGTACACGATGGGGGTTATAGTACTGAGTTATTCTTACATTTGCTTAGTAAGTAAGGACTGTATCGAAAATAAGTTGTAAACCAACTTTTCCTCAATCTTTTAATTCTGTCGGACCTCTTAATGGAATCAATTTGTGACGAGCTTTTTGAGTGTGTTAATTTATTTTCTTTTAATTCCGTTTTAATTGTTTATCGCGTTTTTCGTCTACTACCTGCAGACATCATCAGTGCCAAGTACTCAACACCAGTGGTGAAAAGTTTGTGTACAACTTATTTTATAAGTCATGTTGAGTACTTTGCTTTGATGAAATCTGCAAGTAGTAGACGGAATACGCGTATCTGTTAAAAGATAAGCAATTATAACGGAATTAATAGGAATAAAACTAAAACCTATAAAAGCTCTTCATAAAGTTTTCGTTCTAAATTCGAAAAAAAAACTTGTTTTTAACGCATCGTTGTAGTATATTTTTGACTATTTCATGGCTTTAGAACTCCTAATATCCGCTCTTTACAATTGCCATTCATAATCAACAATCGGCGTTCAATAGGTTGTAGTTGCGGACAAGTTGAATTGGGTCGGCGAAATTCTAAATGTGTATGCCGTCTTATTACTTATTTTCGATACAGTCTTTATTTTGAATTTCCTTCTCACTATGGTATTCTAAATAGAGTCTGAGTCACGCCAAGAGAAAACCAGTTGAACTCGCATCACGGTTTCCGAAGGATTCCCTTTCTTTTCACTTGGCAACAGAGGACTTCTACATCAACTTCAAATGACTTCTAGCGAGAACAAAATAGCGGCTGTAGTAAATCATTATATCAGTGATTTTGTCAAATTATCTTATCAAAAAAAAAGTAGAAATTCTAATTACTGATCATTACCATACGTATCCCATGAAAATTTAATGATCACGGCGTGTTTATGATCATTTCTTCAATTTTATTTTATATTTTATTGCAATACCTTTCGTGCATCTTTCATAGCCCAACAAACAATCACCTATTGAAGAAACGACTTTTTGACGATCTTATTCAACTGCATGCTTAAAAATACTTATATTATTTTTAACAATAACTTCCGTTCAGGTTTTGTTCACACAAATCTGGAGAATTTTTTCAACAACAACATTGAACAATTGCTACTACTTGGTGTTGTATAAGGTATATCGAGAAGCTTTTATAATACTTATATGAGTTGTAACAGAGCTTATTCGATCGAATTTTTGATTATTCAATGTTTATTAGACATTATTGCTTTCATAAACAGCGATGTCCTGTATACAGTTGATTATCACGACATTGTTAGACATTTATGAAACGATTATTCAACTGCGGGAAAATCAACCCAAAAATAAGAGAACGGGAAAACAGAGGGTGGTGTTTCTTAAGTGATTTTTTCATTATTTATGAAGAAGCACACACCACACAGAATATTATAAACCAAACCATGTGCCTTTCGATCACCAGCCGCTCGCCTTGTCATCTGAGCTATCATATAAGCTCATATAGCTCAATAACCAATAAAAGCTTACTTGAATCTGAATACCTATCAGTACTCCCGATCGCAACTCTAGCTCCTTCAAGGTCATGTGGTAATGTTTGATTCATTCATCGTACATGAGATCACCTCTCCAATTGCAAAAGAAAGGATGATTGATATTTTTTAAAACTAGATCAATTAAATCGTTGTCGTGAGTGACGTTATCGATGATTACGCTTTAAATTAATTAGGCGTAGAACATAGATAAAAAAAGGGTTGAACTTGAGAGTGAACTCGCGACCTTCTACTTGGGAAGCGGAAACGGCAACCACTGCTCTACTGAATTTGTCTTGTTGTTAGACTGAATCAGTGTTGTAGAATAATGAATCGAATACATTTATTAGACGTCTAATAAGGCATGTTATTAAATCAATTCAAAACAGTCGAGTTAAAGCGTCAATGTATGTACAAATTACATTTATTCAGTCTATTATTAGATCAAACTTCTGGTGTTGAATCGGAAAGACAGTCAACGTTTATATAGCTTTTAATAAGTAAATTAATCAGATCAGAGCAAACAGTGGAATGAGGGTGCATATATCGATCTCAATGAGCATTTTTCAGCACATAATTCGACAACCCGTTTTATTCAGCATTGTACATTTATTAAATATAGGGGAAATGCAGGTAATTTCAGCCTAAGTGTCCCTAATTTGGGCCCATACATAATTTCAGCAATCGACTAAATTTTCAATAGCAACCAAAAATATCCATCAGTAACGTCCCAATAATGCGTTCATCTAGATAAAATTGATAAATAGCATATTTTTAGCGATGGGCCCAATCTAAGATCCATAGCCCAACATTAGAGACATTTCCCCTATATGCTTATTTGTGACTCTGAATTGTTTGTTCGGAGCATCGTAATGTTTGTTTAATTTGCACGATAGGTAGCCGGTTTGTCAGTTCAATAGAGAGACTTGGATTTACTCTTTTTTTCCTTGATTTGTTTTCCGTCGATCTTGTTTTCCGTGCTGAGCACCAATGCTACCGACGCCGGAGAGGCAGCTTCCACACCTGGACCCTACCTATCGACCCATCAACTCATGAACCGGGGACCAAAGGCTTAACTTCCCTTATGCCTCAGAACATTCCGGCGGTGCCGACTGGGATTGAACTCAGGCCTGCTGGGGTGGGGATGGATTTACTCTGGGCGTGACTCATTATAGAGATTGCTGACGTTTATCGTACGCACACTACGTCACGTATACGTATACCCAAAATGATTTCATCTATACACAATCCTCTGCCAGGAAGGAGGTTTGATGAAGTCAGAACTTTAGTCTACAGTTTTTATGTTATGTTTATTCGTGTTTTAACGACACGTACAATCATATATGAATTAACATTAATAAAACGTGATTTTTTCATGATTAGCATGCCAAATTACATGCCTACATGTACGCATGTGTTGAACATAAACTCATTATTATTGTCTGTTCGATTGAAAATCAAAAACCGGGCACTGTTCAGAACTCAACCATCTCACTCGCGACAAACACGCAAAAAAAAACATACCAATAGTGTGTAAAAGGCAATAAAAAAACGTAACTATTCCAACCGCTCAAATAATCATTGAACCTGTTTTTTGCTATGGTAAACAAGTTTCCCTGATTTTATTTACTTACCTATTTGATAAAATTCAAGTTCTGCATAAAAATTCTCATTTCCCAAGTCATTTCTAATATAGTTCAATATGATGGTGAG